CCACCACCCTTACCACTGCCCGACTACTCACCCCATACAACATACCCTGTCCTACTAAATGGGTCAGGATTTTCGAATTGAGCTTCGAGAGTGAAAGAAAAGTCCATTCGGTACTCAGTTTACCTCGAGTCGAAAATCTATTGACTGCCTTTCCAGGGATTTACGGGTTTTAAAAAATACGTCGATACATTTATGGGAAGAGTTTATTATAGATATTTGTACAATATTTTTTTTTTTTTACATATCGAAAAATTTTACTTGTCAAGCTCAATCTAATACGCGTATTCATTGAGGTTCGTGGCTCCAAGCATTATTTGCTTCGGTTACGATTGCACGTTATTGAAAAAGCGAAATCGCTGGTACAGTAGTGCGAGAGAGGTATAGATGGCGTTGAATACGTTAACGGATTGCTGCACCGTAAAAGGGCAGAAAACGTTATGGTTCGCGTAGGTACGTGGTAAGTTTTACTGCTCCCACAGTGACCCCAGCGTTTTACGTTTTCTCAAAGTGGAATTTAAGTAAGTTCTTAACGAGAGTCTAGACCACTATCTGTGACCGCGTTAATACCAACCTACTGCTTTCTGGTTGGCCATTCTCGTACGCGGATAGAGCACCGCGCTACGTATATATATATATATAGATATACACAGGCGCATATGTATATAACTACCTACGCAAACTCTACTTCCTATCAGATCATCCAAATAGAGTTTTAGATTGGAGGTCGCGAAACGGCGCGATTTGCGTAAGGACTTTTTAATGTATTCACTCGGAAAAAAAAACTTGGCTGAAACTTCACAAACGAGTTAGAGGAACTTTTACGCCACCTATCCTGGCATCCCAAAGGCGTCGCGACGCGTTAGTTCCGAACCAAAATTCTCATCTACTTTCTTTACTTGTCTGAACTTATTTCTCCTGATCTTCCTTTTTTTCCCTTTGTACATTTTCCGGGGGTTGGAAATAGGGTGTACTTTGAAAATTTTTCAATTTTACCCGGCATACCTTATGTACTATTTTATACCGTTATGTTGGCAGTTGACGTCGTATTAATTAGTAATAAATTGTTTTAAGCCTTGAAAACTGAATATGCTGCATTCAGTGTAAAAGTGGAGATTTTCGCTCGACTCCTAGTATACATAATGGACTATGACAAAAGTCACTCGTTAAGTCTGGAAAGAAACAAACCATTAATGGGGAGGACGTTTACAAATGATTCCCATTTGTATGGAAAGTTTTTGTACACCCTGTAGTAAAGTTTATCGATCGGTTACCAATGAATTTAATGCGTTCAACCCATACGAAAGTAGCAGCATTTCACTGGCAAGAAAACTAATTGAGTCCAAACACGAAATCCGCGTGTACTACTTAATAAAGTAGCAATTAATTATTTATTCAAGTAAACATTAGATCGGCATTCGTTCCTCATACGGAAACATACGAAACAATGAATTTTGCCGAAAATAATATTTCCAAAGTGAATATTTTTTCGAAAATTTTTATTTTCAAAAAATAAAAAATTTTTAACGTTTCCATTAATTTCAGGAGAAACAAAATTTCTATCAAAATTTCCCATCCAAAATTTATCGTGAACGATATCAAACTGACGCAAGTCATGTTCCGAATGCAAACAAGCAAGATTCGCGTAGCATTAATGTCGTAATACGCATATCCATCTCTAAGCATGACATCAATAATAATGTACATTTTCAGCAGACAAAGGGATTCCGGCACGTACGGGACGTAATCCGTTTTCACATTATTCCCTCCCATCACTTCACTCGGCGGTAATGCAACTGTTATTACCGGCACACTTCTTCACGATGTTACATTTTTATAACGAGCCTGAATATATATTGCCTCGAACACATGTTCCCTTTTCTTAGCACAAAGGTACCACGATACCTAATAATAACATTAAGGACAATAACGTATGTTATCTCAGCACTATGTACTACTCGTGTACTTTTTACATATTTGCGCTCTATAATACAGTCGATTGTCATTCATATTTACCAAAGGGACTCAGCATTTACGCCTGCCTTAATCCCATGTTCAAGTTTACCAAGTACCATGGGTTATTCCCAGTGGCTCCTTAAACGTCTAAGATTTCTAGTTTCCTCGAATAACCACGTACCAAACCTACCTACCCAGTCTTTAACCAACCATAGATGAGTATCCAACCAAACCTGCCGCTTTATACCAGTGCGACTTCAGATAAAGAATCTTTCTCGAGTTATACCTAGTAAAGTTCTTGTCCAGATGGATGAATGGTTTAGGATTACTTGAACCCAGACGTAGGCAATGGGACAGGTCAATTCGTTTCGTGTCACGATTTCGAATTTTTTTTTTCATTCTGTTGTGCCGCAAGCCAAAGGAATATTGAAACTGAAGATGGATAGGATATTTTGAAATTTAATAATTTTTTTATTTATTTGACTTTTGGTCGACGAAACCGCGAATATTGGAATTGGAAAGAAACATGGTACTTGTTTATTTTATTTACTAGTATATTTATTCCGCGATACGTGACCCGAATGGAGGCTCCATGTGATTGCGATGGGAATGTTTAAATTTGTTATACGAGTGAAACGATAGAGATATTTATATTTTTTAAGTTTATCACACTGCGATGGTACTTGTTAAAAGGTGGCCGAGGAGATAAATTGATAAAGATTACTTTTAATCATACTAACGTTTAGTACTTAAATATTTTCAGTATACGCGTATACAGCGACCACGTGCAGTCACGTATATGAATATACAGGTATAGCGCATAGGTGCCCCGTAACGAAGACATATTTTCTCAGTTTTTAACGCGCCTTCCAACTTCGGCTTATCTAAATTAATTTAAATTCCTCGCCTCTTGCGTACGAGAGTCCAACGTGTCCAGCGTGAGTTTCGACTATTCGTATAAAAGGTACGAGAGAAAAGGTGCAGTCGAAACTAGCGTTTTAACAAATAGCAGCCACTTTGCGTTATCGCAGGTACAATTTATACGTTTAATTTGTACGTCTACCTAATTAATACGAGTGCACGATTAACCCATGCGCCACGTTAAGATTTAAGGCCCAATCAAAACTGGCGCTACGCGTCTAACGAGAAGCCTAAATCGATAACCAAAATATCCAATATATCTAATCCAATTAAATCTCACGATATATCCTCACTTCGAATATAATTATTATACCACGAATCCCCCCCCCCCCCAAAAAAAAAAAAAAAATTTCCAATACCTAATTAATACGAGTGCACGATTAACCCATGCGCCACGTTAAGATTTAAGGCCCAATCAAAACTGGCGCTACGCGTCTAACGAGAAGCCTAAATCGATAACCAAAATATCCAATATATCTAATCCAATTAAATCTCACGATATATCCTCACTTCGAATATAATTATTATACCACGAATCCCCCCCCCCCCCAAAAAAAAACATAAAAATTTCCAATTAAATTAAAAATCCAATACACAGTTTCGCCTCGACCTATACCTACCCCTAAAATTCCTAAAGCCCAATATCAATCCGACTACTATTTCCATATCGTAATATCCCACGTGCCTAATTCACAATGATTATCCCCTATTATATAGCATTATATCTCAGACATACTTCCAATCGAGGAACTATAGACGCTACGGAACGATGGAGTCGTCGAAAGTCCCGGCAAAAAATTTAATATGGATGAACGGGGCCCTTGAACCGGCTTCTCCAGGACGTATAAGAGACGCATAAATCGGGCGTTCATCCGCTTGAAACTTCATCCGTTCATCCCGTGGCGCTCGGTAGCGTCACGATCAAAATACTCGTAGGTAAAAAAGACTGGGCAAGGAGTCGAAAACAGAACCATTGAGAAGATACGTGACCGGCGCTCTGCTGGCACTATTACCTCCCCCCCTATTCTGTCCTGGATGGACCAGATCAATGAGGACGGACAATAAATCGGTATTAAATAGGAATTACGATCGCATCAAACGTTAATAACTGGCGCGTGTCCCGGCAAAGCTGTCGGGGCTTAAGCCTAGTCCACATCAGGGCCACCTGGACATGCAATTACGACATTGTACCACGACCATACGAAACGGCCTAATGCTGTATACATGACTTTAATTTTCAATTGAAATTCGATCGTCCCAATGCCCGTTCGTTGTCTCTTGACGCCTGAGTTATTATTATTATATGTTAGTTTCTATCGGGTTATCAATTTTTTTTACGATACGTTTTTATGCTAATTCATCAGCCTTCCCTTTGATCTAATGGCTGCTCCGTATAACAACAAATCTTCGTGTCACCAGCTCGTCACTGTCAAACCCGGCTTAAAATCCGGTTCTGATTCACGGCTATGGCGTGTCCTGTCAATGACGTGGAAATGGGTCTGCCTGGTGCCCGACGCGTACGAGCTGCCGTGCGAACGTGCGCTCCTCTATATAAAACGCTATGGAGCATTTGAATGACAATAAATGCGACAACGTTAATCTCCATTGGTGCAAACAATGACGGTGCTATGGAAGAAAACCGTGTGCGGCCGGGAGGAGCGAGTGATGGGAAACGAAAAAAAAAAAAAAAAAAAAAAAATTGGGGAATGACGTGGAAATGGGTCTGCCTGGTGCCCGACGCGTACGAGCTGCCGTGCGAACGTGCGCTCCTCTATATAAAACGCTATGGAGCATTTGAATGACAATAAATGCGACAACGTTAATCTCCATTGGTGCAAACAATGACGGTGCTATGGAAGAAAACCGTGTGCGGCCGGGAGGAGCGAGTGATGGGAAAAAAAAAAAAAAAAAAAAAAAAAAATTGGGTCATCACTATTAATCTCGATCCCTTGACCATTAAGCGTTTAGAGTATAGTTTACTTTTTAGATATTTATTTTATGGAAACAAAATTTTATATTCGTTTTCATTTTATAGCCGGTGTATATTGTACTTGACAGATTTTAGATGCTAAATAAAATTTAAGCGTCGACTTGCACTTGATTTATATCTTTTAATGGATCCTGAATCGAAATTGATTTTATATATGCATCTGATAATGTGGTAATACCGATATTACATTTGTCCCATTTATTTCGTAGCATCGTTCCGTTCAATATCACGCGATCGTGTATCGCGCTTGGTTAGTGAAATTCAATTGAAAATTAGTACGTTAATTTTCGATAATTTTCTATAACACGTCGTTCGACTCGACGCCAATAAGCGTGATACGTTGGTAGACGGTTGTCATTGTTCATCGATTGTCATTAAATTTTGCAGTGTTATCGATCGTCTATTCCCATAATTACACGTTGTATCGGGAATCGTCATGTTCCGGTTTTATTATATGGTTATACGCGTGTATACCACAGAGTGACAATTGGCCATGTATGTAGCTATGTAATTAATAACGTAGATGTCATTTACCTACCGAAAGTGTCACCCATGCTGGATTTTTACTCTATCGGCAAAATCTCCACAACAGCTTCTCCACAATGACACAATACTTTTCGGTACACTTGTCTTTGTATCAAAGACCGTGAAATAGTACGTTCGTTAAACTACTAAATTTGATTTAGGTATTATCAAAATTGTCAAATCAATTAATAATGACATGTCGCGTGGAAATTTACGAATATAAATTTCTTTAACCTCAATCGCGTACTCGTAGATACAAATCGCACGAAAGAAAACTGAATTTTGTTCATTCAATAATTGTTTGACGAACTTAATTATATCAGTTTTATTGAATCCTTTCAATTTCAATAAACGTCACTAACGGTAATGCGTTGAGGGTGTTTCTCAATCTACAAAATTAAACTTGATTCTCGTGAGCTTGTTTGTCCCACTGCCATCTGTCGGTGAGACGCCGAAGCTTTTCGCTTAAAGCCTGCAGCTATCCGATAACCGCAACTATGCATACAGTACTGTCCGAATTCCGTGAAGCAGCCGAACAACAGGCTTATCGACTTGAGCCGCAATACGTATTGTAGGAATCGACACTTGCATCCTCTATGACGTGGCAGTGTGTAGCATCCGCGTAATTGCGCAATTGTTCTGCTATACCAATAGCGAGTGGATGATGGTGTCCGGTACTTTACGTATTCGACGATACCACACCTTTGGATAACTCCATTCATTCGGATCGTGCTTTCGGTAATTCTGGTGGTGCAACAATGATCGCTTTTCCGATATCGTGATAACGTTCGTCTATTACAGTTTTGTTTTACGTTTAAATTTATACCGTACGATGGTATAGTAATAACGTGGAATGATCGATTTGCTGTCCAGTCATTTATGCATAGTACTCGTCATCATTGATACAACCGTCTTTCCATACATAAATTATGGACACCCGGTATATAACAATGTTGTAGCCTGTCATTGGTACAGATGGTCTATAAATTTTTTTCATAGATTTAAATCTTATTCGCCTTACCAAAAATTACATACGGAATTATTTTATCTCAATTGAAATTTTCTTGGACTTTTTTTCTATTTTGAGGGAGACTGTAACTCTTTTTATTCTAAATGCTTTATAATCTTGTTAATAAACAGAACCCGTTACAAATATCATTTTATTTTATTTAATTTTTGTTTCATAAAAGTGCACTGTAGTCTGGATTCTGTCCGGGCTCTTTCTTTGTCGTAAAAAGTTTTCGTGTACAAGAAGTGTCTACTTGTAATGACAACATTTCTACATGCCGCATACGCGTAGCCGGGGGTACACTCGTAATAACATAAAACTCTCGCATTTCTTTCGGCTTCTTTATATATTCCCTTATTTTTTTCTTCCTTCTTATATTTTCTTTTCACACCCGCGAAGCGCAATGTTTGTCAGATATACGACAAATATCTCTCGAGGCTACGTTAGTTTGCGATCGTAAATTTTCGTAGACTTTAAATGGCTTCCAGTCGCAAGTATAGTACATTCGAGTATATAAGTATAATGAAAAAAGCTTTTACTTTTGTACTGCTGCACCCTGTACGATAAAAATTTTTATACCCGTATGCTGCACCCTGGGATGATGGACGCTGGCGTACATTGAGGCAGTGGTACATGAACAAAAAAAAATATTGCCACTTTCAGTAGTGGTATACGTGTGGTTATGCAGAATTATGCACATAATCAGCGATTGAACTAAAATTAGTCGAGTCTTAATCGTCCCTGCAAAGTGAAATACAACGACGTCCGCATAATCTTGGGTACTTCGGGATGATTTATTATTGAACGTCCTGTCGTTATATTTAATGGCGGAAGAGGCTTTGGTAGAATGTGACCCGGTGTACATAAGACCGAGAGAAAGAGAGAAAGAAAAATATAAAAGGCTGACGAGAAAACTTCAAAATCTCTTATACATCTACGGGTGCATTTCCTTTCCTAGACGTTCCTGGGAAAAGGAACGGATCTTTGGTTAAAGCGAGAGAACTATTCTTAGAGCTAGCGAAGCTGGAAATGGACTCGAAAGACAAATCTTGAGATAAACGCTGTTAATGTTTAAAGATTACACTATGTTTGTTTTGTTATGCATATTATCGTACCGTGTGAAAGGACCACGTATAGTAACTAAGAAATGGTTTGCGTTCTTGTTCTTTTAAAAATATGTAGCAAAATATATTTCACTGGAAAGGAGCAGGGAAACGTAACGGAATTGAATTCCTTGAGAAAAAAATTATTATTTACGTAATCTGGTAGTATAAATATTTTCTATGTAAAGATATATTTATTTACAAATCGATTCTATATTAAAAAGTGTCTCAATTTTTAAATTGATACTCATAGTAGCGACGAGACGTGTAATATATATTATATATATATATAGATACCATCTCTGGCCTGAGGTATAGCCATAAATAAAAGTGATTGCTCGCAAATAGCACTTACTCAGCCTTTCTGTTTCTCGAGATTTTTCCAAAATGCGCCACTTTAAGGTCATCATGGTACGAGTAGTGGTACTCAAGATTACGCACAGCCTAAAAAACGTTCACGAGGCAGGACGCGATGCTCGTGTCGCTTTAATAACAACAGTTAGATGCAAAAGATACGAAGCGACAATTGACTTTATAAATGCGTGCTTCGTTGGTTTAACAAAAAAATTCTCAAATTCTCTTAGACGCCGTTTCTGAATATTCAATAGCATAAGACTCGTGTCATACAATTGAATAAGTGTTATATAAGTAAAAAAAGAAGACTGATATATTCCTTTCATGCCGTTCAAGTGCACTATCTGGAATTAATTTTGTTGTTGAGTTTGGAAACGAAATCCATAGCTTGATTGTCTCCTTTTCTGTGTTCCAGTGCCCTGATTACGTCTGAGTCTGGACAAAGTCAAATATTGTATATTTAGTATATTAGCATAATTGATGGTTAACAAATTTTGTATTATCGATTATAGGATTTTGCACTCTTGTAATTATTTTGGTACCTTTGTTTATGGGCCTTGAGAGTTTTAAATGAATTTGTTGGAGAGTTTCTATTTCATGGTCGGCAGTCGTTTCAGGAATTTCGGCGAATGACAAAAATGCTTCGGCCATGAACCTAGTCCGCAGGAAGTCCTTGTCCTTGACCTCGAAAACCACAATGGCGTCCTCCGTTCCTCTTTGTTCTGCTGTCAGAGGACTAAAATAGAAAGTAAAAGAGTATTACGTCACGGTGAAGAGGAAAACAATTATTCAACGTGTGTCTTACACTCACATGTTAAATTTCTCATCGAACAAAGGAAATAGCGTCTCCTTTTGTACGTGAGTCTTTGGTATTTTGACTTGAGCAAATTTCTCATCGGGTAATATTTTGATCTTAACGTAGGGATCACATTTTCCTGAAACAAAAATTAGATACAGTTTTGAGAAAAAAAATTCCATTTGAAAAACCCCGAAGAATCCCAGTGTGAAACTTGTTCATGCATAGTGACGGTGATCGGAGCGAGTACGATCGATAATTGATGGGTAAGGTGGTTTCAATTTTAATTTTCATGTAAACCCCAAATATGTTTTTCCCAACCGACGACGCAAATTTTCTTTAAATCAAATTTCATATTGTTATACATAGCCACCTCGCCAATCGTTCTTTCTATAGTACTAGTAAGACGTTGCAATAGATCAGATGAGATTCTAAAATCTAATTGTGAAACACCCTCTAATAATAGGTGTTCATGCAGTTTGATACGCAATGTGTAAATCGTGCTCGATTTTACAAGGGCAGGCAGGCATGAAATATCGTACAGTGATCAGGAGCAACTTTATCATATCGCTACAATTGCTTACATACTTGTCTTCCCTTCTCTAAGTCTTTCTTTAGACTTCGAGTGTAGTTTACGCTCGAGAGTAGACAGCTTGCCTATGAAATCGCCTATAAAATCGAAATTATGCATGATTCTTCATGGTCCAATGTATCCCAATATTTTGCTCCGGTTCGCGTCAATTAGCAAAACGCCATTTGAGATTAGAAACAATTCTTCGACGTTGTAATTCTTTTACACTATATATCACCATAATTACTTCTCCCTTTTTCTCTTTAACCTTACCGTTTGTATCCATAGGCCTAAGATTTCTGGCATTGAGAACTTGAATGTTCAAGGAGTTATCAACGAACTGAGCCCGTACTGTCAATTGACCATACATTGACTCATCCAAGTTCTTTTGTTCCTGAAGACGCTCCACACTGTAGCGATGTATAAGTTCAGCAGTTTCTAATCCGTGGAGTTTCAGCAAATGCTCAATCTTCTCCAGTACTTGTACATTCGCAGTCTCATCGGCACCGAGATTGAAGAATCGAATTAGCGTGTGAAGAGTACGATGAAGATTTGAGTAGAAAGACGGTGGTCTTCTTTTCTGTTAAACAAAATAATCACAACTTTTAACAAAGTTAACCCTAACAGAAGCGATAAATAAAATTCACAAAAAACCATGTTAACAACCTCAAGGTTGTCGTTGACTAATTCGTACAGAGTTTCTGATAAAATTTCCCAGATGACCAATAAAACTCTTTCGAAATTGTCCTCGTTGAGGTTGTCGTGTAAAGTGGTTAAATTCGAATCCAAATAATGTAACAATCTATCCATCGCATTACTGGTAGTGTCAATCAGTTCTGCACCTTCCATGAGGTACCTGAATGCATACATGAGAATTGGTGAAAATATTTGTATACAAACTCTACATTATTGTACATTGATAAGAGCACGTAAACATATAGAAATAATAACTGACCTGTTTATGGCTGGCGTCATTTTGCTAGCAACAACTTCGAGCAATTCAATAATCTTGTTGCGCACAGTCTCTGTCGCGTTATCAATGATGAGTTGAAGCGTCGCGCGACATCGATCGGCTTCTTGCTGCGTTTTGTTCTCGCTCAATGCATCGATGATACTTTGTAAACCCAAATCATTAGCAAGTGGAGCAATGGAGGTGCGTATATAATCAATATTATTAATGGCATAACACCAAGCAGTGGAAACTTCAAATTTTCTCTCATAAACGCTACTCTGATGTTCAGCAATTTGTTCCAGTTCAGTTGTTGTTTCTGCCTTTGTTGCCATTTTGTCAGCATAGGCCACGGAACACTTGCATATGTCCTGAAAAGAATTAAGAACAAAAATTAATACATGTAATGATAATTGATTAGCTTTTAATTGTTAAAACATACATCAATGATTTTAGCTATGAAGGTGTAAGATCCTTCCACATCGGGCCATGCCAACTGGGTCCAGAATACTTTGATCTGATAGAAAATTGTTAACGTGTCAACAGCACTGGAACTGTATTGAACTGTTGAATCAATTGGTTGAAGAGTATCGAACTCAACGGCTCTGTCGATTCGTTTTAGTGCTTTGTATATTGCGATATCTAGCCAATGAGCGACGCCTCCTCTGAACCAGTCGTAATAACTTTGTATTTTCATGTCTTCCAGACCCTCAGCACAGAGGACTTGGCCCAATCTAAATATTTGAACAAATAATGAAAAGTCAATGATTGTGAGTATATTTATGTCATTTCACATAGATATCGACTCGTACAACGTGCAATATACTCACATAGCATACCGCTGAAGTGTCAGGTAAAGTTCAAAGAGCGTTGTACCTAGAGCCAGTTCAGTATCGTCATTATTCTCTACCTCAATGCGCTTCAGTCTGGCACAGATATCTTCGATGATGATCATACAAATATCACAAATTCTCTTTTCATACATTATGTACAATGTCCGGGCATACGGGAAGTTGATTTTCCTATGAATAATTATTACAGTTAATCTCAAGTGTTATGGAAATTTCAAGAATCTCATAATAACGTACTTGATAAAGAGCTTATCGTGGAACTCGATTGCTCTTTGTAGATCCGCTCTAATCAGTTGGATCATCTTGATATGATACTTGAGTACATCTTCATCGGAATCACTTTCCGGTGTATTATTTTTCAGAATGTGATCAAACCTTGAATATGACATAAATTTCTAGTACCATCAAAGTATTTAATAATAACAAATAAATATTATCCTATCATATTTTAATTAAGATTAGACTATTTAATTATAACAAATAAATACCATTCCACTCCACCTTGGATAACGGTTTGCTCTATCGCCTGAAGTATATCCGTTCGAGGACCGTCAGCTTCCGGTAGCCATCCGTACATTTTTTCCGGAAACAAATCTATGTCCTCAGGCACATTCAGAGTAATAATGGTAGACAAAGTTCTGCGATAAAAACATTATTTATGTTCATTTAAAAAAGGGTAATATAAACCAACCCCACGATCTGTAAACAACAGTAACTCAACTCACCCCAAGATGGCAGCCAGTTGCACCATAGCATTCTTATCTCCAACAGCAAGCCTCCTAATCTTTCTTATACTATTAAGACACGAGTGAAGTAGCTTCTTGGTGGCGTCCCAGAAGATCTTAATTTCATCGTTAGAGAAGAGTCCATTTTCAAGTGGTCTCAGAAGCTCGACGGCAAGTTTATTAAAGACAGTAAAATTAAGGGGATGTTCCTGATGCACCCTGGAGTACTCGACCCACTGTGCAAGGGTGACATTTCTTGCAAGCAGACCACGCTGCGCGCTGTGCTGAAGTATAATGGCCTCAGCCGGTCCTGACCATCGGCCGCACCAGCAATATTTCTCAACCTTGCTGGTCTCGAGCTCATAAAGCAGCAAGATCCTTAGCAGGTGTCTGTGTTCCTGTGCTGCCACCTGGGCATTGTGTTCAGCACTAAAGGCCAGTCTTAGTCTAACAACCCCCCGGCGCTTAGACTTGTTTTTCTTTTCCAAGGGATACCACATCGTGTGCCCAGTCACCGGAATATCCTGAAGAAAGAACGATAATGTACATCCAAGTTATCGCGAGGCAAGTAAATTCATTATGATGACCGACGCTGGACGTTATCGTAGGCGTGACTCGTGTCCAAAATGTTGTACAACTTGTACACGTGATTCTTGATATTTTTCAACGTGTTCCCTAAACGCAACAACAACACGATATTCATGTTCCTGGATTGTTGTATCGCCATATAATGAATCATCTCGTAGGCTAATGCACGCGCTGTCAAAATTCATATGGAAATTTTTATGGTACCTTCAGCGGAATCCTACTGCGCCCTATGAACTCGTTGTCGTGACTTCCAGTTGTTGCTGTCACGGCAATTTCTCTTACGAGTTTCATCAGACCTCTTCCACCTTTTACATCCTTGACCTTACTCATCTTCTCCCGAACGGTCTCGGCTGCATCAAAATCCCTTGAAAATCAGAAACCAGCGTCTATTAATATACAGGCTCTAATACAAACTTAAAATCTTGTTCAATTACTTAGAGGAAAGACAGCAGCGCTTTGATCAACTACAGTATCACACTCCGTATACATTCTAGAAAATTACAATTTATGTACCCCGTCATACCGCTAGTAAGCCTAGTTGTGAAAAACAGTAAATTCACACACATTACCCGGCTAATCAACATTGCGATAAACCGACAACAATCATTCGACACTTTTCAACGCACTTCGTTACGTAACTCTTTTATAAAAGGATATATACACAAATTGAACTTACCATACTTCCAAACACAGTACATCGTTCTCCGTATCTTCTAGTGGCCTGTAGACAAATATTTTTTTAAAACTCTCAAAGCTCCACGAACAATGCTACCAAAGTTGATAAATTGAATAACTCTTCAATGAGAATTTGAGAAAACTCACAGTTCAAAATGTTCTTCCCAAATGGGACACAGAGTCCCAGGCTTGACGGCAGTGTTGTATCTTCTGGTCGGTGCTGATTCTAAATAAAGGGCACAGAATGGATCGCTCTTCCCGTTGGCATCTTTGGAGACTAGTTCTTTGGCTTCGATTACTTCGACGTTGAGGTGCATTTGCGGTGCCTGCAAATAGGTAAATAGGCGATGAATAAGTGTCTAAGCAAAACATACGATATGGTTCAATGATCTCATCATTTTTCCCAGAGTATGACCCTACCAGACTAATCCGGATGATTCCAATTTATCCGTGACCTTTAGCCACTCTTTCTTTATTATTTTATTAAATCTTGAAATTCTTACTTCTATGTTACGTGTCTCCTCCAAGACTTGCTCGTGTGTCTCGTTGTCAATTTTAAAGGCCTGTTGTAGGTGATTGAGCAGAACTTCCTGCCCGCACTCGTTGGAAACATCGTGGCCGACTGGATGTTGGGCAAGATAAACTAGAGCAGCATAGAGTTCCTCGATCTGTCACATAACGATACAAAATTTCGAATTATTATTACAAATATCCACAAAATAATTGATTAGACATTTAATGCAATTTATATCTAATTTATTTAATGAGGTGCAAGAATAACGGGTATATTGTCGCAAATCATATATTGGTTTGGTTCAATGCACTATGCTTACATAGAAACGACTTGGGCGTTGCACACAAGAAACTTATCCCACGTATGTGTATACAAGTGCATAATAGTACGAAATGGTCTTAATAAGGAGACAATGCACTATTGTACCATATTGGTTTGTCTGATAATCTAATCTTCAAGTACAGTCAGATGTATGAATAAGAATATACAGTTGAAAGAAATATCGGTATATTAAACGATACAAAGGATGAATTAATGTAATTTAATTGTTATTGCTTTTTCGAAGGTTTTGTTTTAAGAAGGGAATTCACATGATTTATTTGCTGATTAGGTTACTTTAATGACTGTGAACTAGTATCATTTATAGTCCAGTATATATTCTTATGGGGTCAAGTACTGTGCGTTGCTATCTATCGTGCTAATTTTGTTCAATTGGCAAAGTACGTCCATATGGATATGGGTCGACTTTGTATTTATTCGTATGGTAATACACTTGATTCTATTAATATTCTGTACAGTGAAATAGCGAAATTGTGGGATAGTATATGTTTTTGGTTTTGTAAAATTTTTTAAAAATTTGAGTCAGTGATTTCATGATTTTACCTTGCTGGGGGTACGTCAAATTAAAATTTAAATTAATATTTGAAATGGACTTTTTGGGGGATTTTTACAATAATTTTCAAGACTCACCGTCATTGCCTGTAAAAGGGCATTAGTCCTACGTTCAAGTTCCGCTTTTGGAACTCCTCTAAATGTATTACGTTTTCTGCCTAGGGTACCAGTCCCAGCGGGTGTGCTAGGTCTAACCATTTTGCGATATAAAAAAGTGTCACTTTTTATTTTTATTGATACTCAATCAAGTGTACGAGAAAAAGCGAACTGACAATTTGTGAAAACGTATACCCAATGATCACCCACATTTTATCAAACACATTTTCTATATAATTCTTCACAGCGGCACAATAATTAATTCACTTGTGAAATGAACCAACAATTTCCTGCACGTTATCGTTTATTCAATTTTCGAAATTCGTCCAACACTTCGCAAATGTAAAGAGTCATTTTTCATGAACTGTTAGTTACTAGTATTTTTTTTTTTCACCAAAATTTCATATCTTCGTATCAACCATATTACACATTAACGTCCACTAAGATTCTCTTATTCGAAAGAAATTTCATTTACTCCACGATAATTCACTAGAAACACACAAAGTAAATATCTCCTAAACCCACAGTACAAGAAGCACAGCTAACCCAATACGGAATTTGCATCTCGCAAAGGAACAGCGTTCAAGCCGATTAGATGGAAGCTTAAACTTTGACCCTTGAAACGCAATCCGTAAACCAGATAATGTTTCGCTGTTTAAATTCAAATAACTACGCACCAACCCAACGTACTGCTGACTGCTACAGTTTCCCGTGGTCTTTGTCGAACATCGTCAATGACCACGACCCATCCTATCAACGATTCACGGGTAGCCGACGCATTCTTAATCACGAATAAAATTAAGACGTTGTCGTAATCAAAGTGAGTAAACATAATGACGCCTGCTAAAACAGCGAAATACAAGGAACTAAAAACCTGCCTAAATCCAGATCCAAACTCAAGGAAATAAACGCGGGCGAATTTAGATGACTTTTAAATCCTCAGTCATGCGACTCTTAAGAATGCGGTAACGCCTATAGGAAATAGTTGGTTGTCTGCCATACAGTGAAAAAAAAAAAAAAAAAAATACATTGCAAAAATATTCCCATTACAAATACCACGTGTGCCAATGAGTTATAGCGTCGCGAAAAAATCTTTTATGTATCTCTCTAGCGCTATCGTTATCTTGTATTATACATCCGGATGCATTATTTTGTATGTAAATATATTCGAAATTTTTTTTTTTTTTCAAGAAATCGACTATTTCAATTCGACAAAACTAGGTCGTATCCTACTTAGAATGAGCTGCGGAACAACTGCAACTATGTTCACGCAATTGCGTCCAATGAAAGTTGATATGTCGACAATTAACTCATTGACCGTCAAGGCGCACCATTCTGCGCCATACTGTCTCTATCGTGTTACCTACCGGTAAAATGGGCCTCGTACTAGTTTATAATAGTCATTCAATTTTTGCAGCCCTTTTTAACCCATCCAGGTTTTACTTTACTATTCTTAATCAAATAGTTGTTACGTTCCTGACCGACCTACAGCAGTGCATTCGTATAGTGGTTAAAAATGAAATTTACGTGTAACAATAGAACGGGAGTCTTATTCGTGGCTTTGGAAGATCATATGCAGTTTCGTGGCTTTAACGTTAAACCGAGGAAATTTGATCCTGAAGTGATTCCAATAGCTTCCGCTTTTCGTGGACTATGATACACGTGAAAAGTCTCTACCTGGGAACTGGTTTCATTTTTAAACCGTTTCCCTGACAATTTGCCAATTTGTCGAGACACCGATTGTGAGTTCGGAATTCTCCTACCTTGACAGAAACTGGGTAACCCACTTCGAGCATTTATTTTTACGTATACGTATCGACCGATTTATTAACAGTGAATGAGATCTGGAATTGACCCTGACTTTTACGATAAAAAGTTCGCCCGCAGTACAGACTGCGTTAAAAGTTAAAAATGAAAAAGTACAGTCTCTGCCTGTGATAAATCCGGCATAATTCTTTTTCGTAAAAAACATGAAGAAGACACTGATTTTCTCAAGAATCTATAAATTTGTCAATTCCAACGAATTTACGATGAAATAAAAAAAATAATTATTTTAAAAACTTCAAATTTAAGCACGTCTTACGGACAAATATCACTGTCGGGATTCATCACTATCGATTAAAATTGGCCAATTTTTTTGATTAAAAAAAAAACCAAATATAATTTTTACTGGATCTCACGTTTAAATCGCGAGCTACTCAAATTTATAGGTTAAAAACGAAAATTCAAGAGAGCGACAAGAAAGTTGAATGGAAAAGTCAGTAGGGAGAAGAGGAACAAGAAAACTAGAGAAGATGACGTCTCGACGAAGGCAAGTTTCACACTGCCAGGAATAGATGGACCGACGGACGAAGACTCCGTCGACGAATCTGCATGGTAGTGGGTCCAGGACGGACGTCATGTGAGTTAAACAGATACGCAGACGCATCCCCTACAGCCTCCGCACGACCACGTGCACATGCTCGCCGGCCCTGACCACTGGTCCACGGTGGCCAGTAACGATTAGCGACGATGCACGAACAAGTAAATTTTTTCAAATTGCGTAACACAAGCACAAAACATCGTATCACGTCATACTAACAAAGTGCACTTACTTCCCAACGAATTCAAATAATTCATTTATACTTCAAGTTCGCTCAGTACAATTAAACCTTAACCAATAATTATTTTTAAAAACTTACGAACTTGACAAACTTCCTAATGCAGAGAACCTTATGGGATCTAAACAATCGCATTTCTTTGCAAAGTCTCAAAGCACTCTAATCAGTCCCAATAAGTCCCAAAGTCAAACTTATCCATAACTTGACACTCATCGCAGACTTTCCGCATTGGGAGAATGCGAGCCGACGACTACTGTGGCATTGGATATTACGTGCGGCTCCTGAACCTTTGAAAAATCAATACATCCTAACGATCGCTGCGAAATACGCCATCGGAAATTCGGACAATGAGTATATATACATATATATATATACTGTACAGCTGTAATTAGTTCAAAGTGAAATAAGATCAGACCACCATAAGGTACTAGGTGACTGCAATTATATATAATAAATTGATGCAATTAAAATAGCGAAACCACGAATTAGCAAATTGAAATATCGAATACTATTAATTTCCAAAAATAAAATTTCGTCAGAATCATTTATTAGCTTCGTCACTGGGTCTGACAAGGATTAATTGTAACTATAGCGTTGGTTCTAAGGATCTATACTTCGCTGAATGCTCTTCGTGTATCTTCCTAAATGATTGGCCGTTTCACGATAAACACGTGAAGAAATCTGTTTTCATTCAGGCGAAACCAACCTTATCCTATCTGTATTGCACGTAGAGTAGAAATGACCTCGATTACTGGCAGACCTTAAACAGATCACTCCTTGTGGATCTGCGTCTCACCACTGCGGTATTTAATCACTTGAGAATATATTTTTATCTCCGTGTTAAGATTACGCAACAGACTTTCAAAGATCCACCAGTCAAGCGAAAACTATTTATTACAATTTAAGATTTTCATTAAAAACATCACTGTACGATACTTTCCTCGAGGAGTCACAGCATCTTCCCAGACTCCCTGGACCATAACCGAATCTGAACTTAACTACCAGAATGTTATTCTTCCAAGATTTACGACCAAGTAAAAATTCCATAAAAGTGCTTTACGTTTTATGACGGAAAAAAAAAATGTACGATAAACTGCAGCCGCGAGGATCCTTACCATACGAATGATGGGTACTTTAGAGAAAAAATATAATAAAATTGAATTACTCAAAAAATCATTTAACGTCATCGAAACGACCGAATATTCAGTGATCGATAAAATATTGGCATTTTAATATGTATAATATTTCTTTTAGCTTCGCACGTTTTTGAATCGAATTTTGGGGTAGGCAGCTTCCTCGATAGATACATGACGTTTCAATATCACGTGGCATTGAATGGTCTCTGGCGTCGTTAAAAAAATCAACAATGCACATTGACATTTACTTACGTTCCAGCCAACCGATTCAACAACGAGGTTATGTGCGTGTTCATTCTCATCCCGATCGCTGTCACTTTCCAGCAAAGCCTCCGTAGGCTCCTCGATGCTTCCTTCCTCGTCATCGTCATCAGCGTCATCCTGTTTACCTTCCGCCTGATCTTTATTATCTGGCAGGGGTCCTTCTATCTGTTGCTGCTCGCGTGCCTTTTCTGCCAGAAGAGTTCCCAGATTCTCGAAGAAGCCTCCATCGGTTTCTTGTATTCTGGAAAAATAAAATAATTGCGTGATTGGTGATGCACAAGTATGTAAAATTTAGCTCATATGCGTACGCGTACTTGACAGTGACATTAGACAGCTGTGTGCGTTTGTGCAAATTTCGACGTGTGCCAATGAAATTGACGTCATTTGGTTTTATTTAATAAGCGAAAAAATTAATTCTAACGACACTAGAGTTAGTTTTGAGATATAAGAGAACACGCTAGCTAGTAAATCGTAAATAATTACTACCAAGCGTGAGTTGTCAAAGATATTGCTTCGCTATTATATCAATACTATATTGATATATTTGATACAACGAAGGTTAAGCTAAAATAATACGCTAAATTAATAACACAAAAATTAATTATCAAATAAAGAAAATTATTCCAAGGAAGCCATTACGGGGTCCACGCGGCGTATAGGCTTCACCTGTTATGTAGAAAGTTGTGGGCGGCAAATTTCCAGTAGATACTTCCAACTGTCACCTTTTTTGTTTCTGGCTGCTGCGACATGCGAGCAGCTGCTATCGCGAAATAAGGATGCTTCTCGTTAAGTTTTTCAAAGTGCGCCATCCTCGGTGTATTCCTTAGACAAAAATTTCGGAAAAACTCGAGGTAATCCGAGTCAAGCACCAATGAAATATTTGAGAAGGAAAAAACTTTTGAAAATTACGAAGAAAAAAACAATGCAAAAATTTCAACATTTAAAGGCTTAAAGGTATTTTATAATTGATTTTTCATTAACACTTTTGTTTTATTACACGTCAACCGCGCTTTTATTTAATTAGATCTCGTAGCTTCAGTCTCAACGTATCAATTCACTTCACCGTTCGTTGTAATATAATTATTTTTCACATTCACTCCACAAATAACGTCAACGAATACGCGGATCATACGGTTCAGACATGCGAACCGCACCAGAGCTGTCAGCAGACTAGTACAAGATTTCTGAATCGGAATAACCGAGAGTGGGAATCAACCAGGATCCTTAATATCCTGTTAAGTTTCCTTAACTCAAATTTAAAAATCCTCCAAACTCGTCACGCTTCGTATTAAAACAGTATTCGGGTACACTCGAGTAATTTATACCAGTGCTAAATTGTCATAAACGTATTATAGATACTCGCAGTATCTTTTATTTATAGACTGATACAAAGGGTTAGTTGAAAGAGCAAATATACACTATAAGAGATTTACGCTGTTTATACACAGACTTAACGGTACTTCGTAAGAGCGTGTTAATAAGGTAATTATAAAATTGACAAAGGATAACTGTATACGTGTAGTTCAATATGAAATTTTCACATATTAAAGTACCATTCGTAACTCATACGGGCGGTAAGACTCTGGCACGAAATATTAGGACATTTCTACGTATTGTTAAATTTAGAAAATCATTTCTTACATCTGCGCACAGTAGAGATATTCGCTTAAATATGTGAATCGACCTTTACTATACATATGCTTGGTCGAAGTTTCTCTTTGACGTGAAAACCCGACAATAGACAGGTATGGTTATTGCGAAAGTTGTCATGACGGAATACGTCATACATACACAATGAATATACGGCATTAGTGTTTGTATATTATATGGCATTCGTACGATGAAAACTCCTTATCTCGTAATGACTACAATTTCAGGGAAACGAAGTAAAGAAATAATTTACGTAGACACTCTCAATAATTGGAATTTCCAAAGACTTTTTCCTTATCTCGTTAAATTTGCAGTTTTACCAAGAAAGATACGCTATTGTGTTACGGCATACGTCACGTTCTAAAACACACTTCCTCAGGAAACATTCTAAAATCACGACCTTACAGTCAGACTAGTGGGAAGTTCACGTCCCTTACCTGACTCCGATTTATTCAGATCTTGACATCCTCACCCTAGAAAATACCAAAGTATAGCATACAAAACCTTTGAGACACGTTAAGAATCCAACAACTAATTCCTTACCCCGCTGTGGCCTGTCGATTTTTCATTTCTACAGCTCGATCTCGCGTTTAACGTCAACGCTTATTCGGGTAATTATTATTAGACAGAATCTTTCTGTGGTGAATTATTTCATCCAATAAATATGCCGGGTCTATCCTACAACTGCTAGTCGCTATTTCTTCTGAGGCAGAATATATTTTGGATATATATTTTGAAACTCGAATCCTGAACCTGGGTTCACGCTACGCATAGTTTGACTACTAACCTAACCTATAATAATTGTAAAAATGTTGTGATCTGTTAAAAAAAAACATTTTAGTCACTCATTTCGTTATAACGTGAATCCATTAATGGCGGGTTTTCTCGAGTACTTTCCACTTCTTAGAACGCACGGAGAAACACGTATGCCGCACGAGTTTCCTGTAACCGAGATAAAATGGCTTCGTGCAACTGAACGCATCCGAAGAGCAAAGGAGTCTTTGTTACCACAGAACTTTTGTTGCCGGTGGAGCGACGTTTTGCCGTTTTTCTTTTGTCCCGAAGATACTCCCCAAAGTCTAGAATGAATCATTCCACTGTTGGCAGCCGACGTCACATTCCTTTCGAGGACTCGTAATGTATAGCAAGTGCTACAGTTTCACCCATTACATCTTAAATAGATCACCGTGTATATAACACATGGATGACTGTCGATAAAAGTATTTTTCTCAATTTAATTTAATTAAATTTTCATTTCACCAATCCAATATTTTAACGTTCTAGATCTTCGACTCGTGATCTGTACGAGTCCTGATTTTGTTCTCCTTTTACCATATACTGCAGGCTGTGACGTAACATACAGACAACCTTCATTCGTTTCACTCAAGATCTCGCGATTGCGCTCCAGCACAGAAACAATATAAAAAAACAGTCATTTATATGCGTGGGAAAAGATTATTATATCGGATATATTAAACGAACGCGATATATGCATTTTATGGGTACGCTTGATTGAATGGCTAGAGATATTTGGAAATTAAAAAAAATTCGATTTGGTTTACAAATTTTTTTCTGCATTCGAAATATGTGGATACGCCATTTTTACAGTTAACATATGAATTTTGTGATAGCAATATTCCAAATTTTACTATATGTGTATATTGTGTGGATATATATAGTTCTTCATTCAAGGTCATTCGTGCGTTCACCTGCGACGATTCGAATGTCTGCGTCCGAAGCAACTTCTTTCCACTTCCATTGCCACAACGCTTCTTATCCGTGAAGTTAGGCATTTCCCTGCTGTATAGTCAGCAACTGGTTTGCGTCATAGACTCTAAGGTATAGTGAATGATTGTTCCAAGATGAAATCATTTTGTAAAATCCCTCAATGATTTGTCTTAACTGTGTCAGCGACGTTTTAATTAGATAAGACAATTTAAGAAATAAAAAGTACTATCACTACATAGGCTGTGCCGTTTCTCGTGCAATGACGATATGTCTTATTGTCAATTAGATTAAAGATAGTTTACATGGGATTAATACACATAAAATTAGCTTTGTATAGCCTAAAGACCAGAGAAAAATATAATAAAAGCTTGGACCGAAGAAATTGTGAAGTAACAAACGAATCAAGGCGATTCGAAGTATCGGTGGATAAAATGAAATCCAATCAAGATTATTATATAAAATTGTTATTAATTCCCAGATTTTTTTTAACACCTAATATTTATTGCATGCAATTTTTACGTATGACATTTTAAGCTATTGCTTATCGCTATGAGTAACCTGTATACTATATGTACGTCTGTTTTCAAGTATATAGATTAAAGTTCGAGTGATATTATGATAAGATAAATGTTAAAGATGGAGATTCATTATATTCGTATTTGTATTATGACGTTTTGATTGTTCAGGGAAATTCATATAATATAATCTATTAATATATATACACCGCAGTGTTTACATATATAGATGCGAGATTACGTATGCGAGACTTGGTCGATGATGATTCGTCTCGAATAATCATATGCTAATGGCGACGTTGGTGTGATCGTAAACGCATCAAGGAAGCAATTGCAAGAAGGAATTAATTTGTTTTGAAACTTACTGTACTGACACTTGATCATTTTGCATTGTGGTATTTCTGTATGCACAATATTCAAAACGGGCAACTCGATACTGATTAGGACTTTGGTAGCAAGACGAATTACGGGGAGAATGAAATAATTTGTACTTTTGAAACGCAGTGTATACAATGTATCATGTATACAAGACTGTGCAGTTAGTCAGATGTAAATTAAGGAGCCTAACATAGTTTGTTCCGAAAGTTAGACATGACTCGCCTATTAATAACTCGTGTGTACATACATAACTTCACAGTTACGTCAACACATTTAAAATGTACTTTATTCACAGGGATAAAAATGTCAAACTTTTAATAGTGAAAGAAAATCGAGAGGGTGAAAACAAAAAAAATCATATTGAGTTACCGTATGGTAATGTATGGGGCGTATTATTGGATATAAATCAAGTTTTCATTAAGATTCATGGTATCTATATACCTTATTTCATGTTCAGTTTTCTCTTCTTCTTTCTGTTGCTTCTTTTCCACGATTTGATGATAAAAATCCTTCCACATAGCATCCTCGTCCATTTTGGTACTTTATGTATCTAATAATCAAAAATCGTTAAATCGATGTCAAATCCTGTCGGATGTATTAATCATCAGTGATACTCAGATTGTAACACAAATATTTATAGAAAATCACAGACCGACTGGGAATTCTCAAAATGTAAGTAAGAAATCTAAATTACACCATTTCACATGTGATAACGGAATATCGCATTCTCAAAAAAAGTTTTGTAACCATTTTCACACGATCGAGAGATTTTCTCAAATTGGTCAATTAATCACGTCGTTATTTAAAACAGATACGAATTCCTTACACTTTTATGCAACTGAATGACAACATGCGTATACATGGAAATAACATGCACATGTAGTTTTAAAAATCAACACACCTATGACAAGTAAACACGAAGATGGTTCAAGAAAGAAAATTGTCTTGTAGTAAGGTGTCTTTTCGCACTAGGTTATAATCCAAGATCGTCACGACTGCTTGCGGAATAAACCGAATGTGGAATTCACACTTCTGGTATCAATAAGAATAAACAAAGAATCGTACAGACACGTCAATTCCCAATATAATAAATACAGATTCAGTGCCGTAATTTTAAGCTAGTAAAATTAGCCTGATATCCACCGGCACTCCTGACTGATAGGTACGTTTATTTCTGGCGAGAAGATTGAGAAGTTCCTTTGAGTTCTATCAACCAGAGAGCAGCACCGTACGCGAAGAACCTTGAAGGCCAAAAAACATAGGAAACTACATCTGCCTTACCAGTAGGGAAACAAGGCTGAAATGATCGTTTGAATTAATGCCGTATAATTACGATATATTATTGCCGTCAAATCGATATTAAGATATTTACTTATTCAATATTAATTTTGTGAAATATAATGGAAGCACTTTCATGCTGGTAAGTAAACTAGTCATCCAATAAGAATGATTCACGAACAGAGACCAGATGAGAGTAGTCACTGTTGCCTATGACATCATCAATACATGAAGATAGTCTGTTAGCCGGAAATCGATGACAAGATATTTTTTACTTCCGGAGCGTGACTGCATTTTATTTGCAGGTAAAACTTTGATTACTTTAACTATTGGTTTTTCACGAAGTGCGATTGTTAATGCTAACTGAGATAGTTGAGAGTTATTATGTAAGGATAAACAGTGTCGTTAACTGTCATTTCGTTGTTATCTCATATCGCATTTAGTCTAATGAGTTATACTATTTTTTGTGCGCAATAAATTTGATTAAACGAGGTGAGATAGTATCTTCCGTGCAAGCGTTTAATACCGTGACTAGAAACACAGTCGATTTCACTATATAAAATATGAAACCGTGTAAAACATAATTAGTTTTTGCAAACCTATTGCTATGATGTACCTATTAGTGCTTTTGCTTCTGTTAGACACAGGTAATATTATGCTGTACGTGTATTACATATATTTTTTTTAAATGTTCTATATATTCAGTTCTAGGTACTCAACCGGAAGTTCAGAATGATGGTAGTGAAACTAATAAATACAAAAAAATACAAAATGTTGTATTATCAAATAAAACAAGAAGTGGTGACGATCAGCCTATGTCGATATTCAACAATTCCGAATTCCATCTCAATTTCATTATTGATCCCAAGCAGCCATTGGCAGAAATCGTATTGACTAATTTATTGATGTCATTAGCAACATCGATACCCACAAATGCGTCACGAAGACTTTCGAAATCTTCATTGGACAATGAAAGTGCAATTAATAAAATAAAACTGATCGGTGGATTGATTCGAGACCAAATAAATGTAATTGCACAAGATTTGAGACTCTTTAGAGAATCTCGTGCGAAACAACAATTATTGATAACATTGAAAAATCGATATTCTGGAAATCTTATTGAAAACACAATCCGCGAAGGATACCTGACCGTACGTTGCATTGGTGAAATTATTAAAGAAGTTTATTCTAAAGTAACAAGTCACTTTGGAAGTTTCATTAATTCTTTCCGTCGTCATGGTTACAAAATGATGAACGTACAAACGAAAAATAATCAAGTTAAAAACTATGAAAATACGTTCAATGTACTTGAACAATTTATTGACACAATTATCAATATGGAAGAATGTCTTAATTCCGATTGGAGGCATTACGATCTACGTGCTGCTTTCATGAAATTGACAGGACGATCTAGTTCTGACAGTTTGAGGTTGATCAAAAAACGTTTGAACAGACCTTTGTCAAGATTTTTAAGAACTAAAAAGACATATAAACAACTTTATGCATTATTCATATGTCAGATAGCTGTTGACACGTTCAGAAGAGATTTTGAAAAATGTCTAGAGGAAATGGAACGAATTGAAGAATGTATGAACAAGTTCGATACAGATCTATACATACCCAATAATTGGACAAGATCGATTAAGTATTTGAAAAGTTCGTGTACTAATACGAAAGATAGTAACGGTTTTTACAATATAAACTGTAACAACAAAATAAAAATTCCAAAAAGTTTATATCGACAGGTACAATTAATTTTCAAGGGTCTTTCAGGTTCTGAATTGAAAGCAAGTCCTATATTGAATGACGTGGCTGACGATTTAGTCAAGATTTTAGAAAAGAGTGATTTTGGCAGGAAAGCATGTTATCAACTGTGTCGACTCTCAATGATTTATCAGACTGGACTAAACAAGAAAACCAGACTTGAAAAAATGATACATGACGATAATCAGGCTATTGGCGAGTTTACAAAAGTTTTTCAAAATTTGCATGATTTTCGAAATGGAATTCTTCAGGAAACTGTACACGTCGTTAATAAGCTCCGTAAATGTATGAGGAGCTTCGAAAAAATGTTGTCAGATTATGTCAAAATAAGTTTGGACAAATCTTGGTTGGAAATGACACAAGTTTCAAATCGATATTTTAAGTTATTTACTGAAGTCGATACTCAAAAGCGATCTAATAACGCGACTAAACTAATTCGACAGAAATCATCAGTGTCTGATCCTCTTAATGATAAATTTCATGATTTGAATTATAATATTATGCAACTCGGATCTAGCAATAGAAATCGCAAAGGTATCGAAACATAGTATTACATAGCCATAGAATACTGCTCATATCAATTGATTTCGATATACCTGAAAATTTATTTAGTTTCAGAAGAAAGTTTGACAAATTTTTTGCAAAGTGTAAATAATTATAGTGTGCGAAAATGGAAACATCAAAATACTGCACTAGGCTGTATCGCCAAGAGTTTACTATTGGGAACCTTGCTTGTAGAGGCGCTAGCATGCATGGAAACTTTATTTTACAATAACGGAATTGAGGTAAAGTTAAACAAAAGTTAAAATATTATTTTTATAACAACAAACAAATTATAATTTTCATTTTTTTTCAGCAACAAGTATTAGAAGACGAGGTATAATTTTTCAGTGGAAATTTCCGTACCCGTAGAGACTCATCCCT